TTGTGAGTAATTCAATAATAACCAATTCAACACAAATTCTTTGGGGCTTATTTCATGCACGGCTCTGTGCACGTTTGTTTTCAACGCTGTAAACGAGCGATTAACCCACATTTTTCTCAACATATTTAGGAGCAGAGTGTGAATACCAAGCCTCACCACATTAAGCTCACACAGCCCCCAGTTTTTAACATAACCAGCCCTTCGAGTACCCCGAAGAGAGAATAAAAAGTCTCCGCAACTCAGAAAGTCTCTGTGGTCAACAGACACATTATGCCCATATCATGGTCTAAACCAGAGATAGTCAAGGGCAGAATCTCTCAGACGCCCATGCCCAAGGTAAGATGTTCAGTTCGAAGCCTTTGAGGCACTTTTAATTTTGACTTTTATTTTATATATGTTGAGACATTTTAAGTTTAAATTTCAGCTCGGTGAAGCTCTTTAAGCACAAGACCTTTTCAGTGCTGTATTTTTCAGACTATAGGTGCACTTAAAATCCTTTCATTTTCTCAAAAGTGCGCCTTATGAATTCTGGTTGTGCTTATTGACTGCAAACCGGTTTTATGTGCTCAAATCTGTCAAAATGTTTTAGTACGACTTTGGTAAGTTACAAAGCCGCACCGCTTTGTAGATTGTAGGAGCATTACGGCCACAGTAGTCAAGAGCCTCAGAATAATGCATAGCATGCTTCAACATAATATTACCATAATGTGTGTAAACTCAGTCACGCAGTAGAACATGGGACTAGAGCAGCTGCAAGACATTAATGAATCAATGGTACGGAAGTGGAGGAAGCAAGACGAATGAGTTGACTAAAGTCTGACTTATCTGACTGTTTTATTTCGCTTAATGTGCCTTATGGTCCAAAAATAAAAAAAATTAAAAAAAATACGGTAACTTGTCTGTCTTGTAGAAATGTGCTCCAAATAAGGAACTTGTGTTGACAAGATTGTTAGTTAATCATTTACAAATCAATATTGTCTGTATGGCGTGAACATGTAAAGCTGCGGTGTTAAGCGATGCGGTTAAAAAAAATAAAAAAAAAGTTAAACTAGAGCCCTGTCTGTACGCTTCACATTTCACCCAGCTTCTATCAGCATTCACATCATCAGTGACTGCTTCACTGGCATCCACATGAGCCATATAAAAACAATTACCTACATGTTTTATAGACTGTATGCTGACACGTTTCTCTCAAATTGTTACAAATTAACTTTAGTTTCATGTGTACAACGATCAGGCTCTTTCAGTTGTATCCTAGCAAAGTCAAACCTGTGCTTCCTGTTCTTGAGTGAAACCAGGATCGTTTCCATACAGAGACTTTACATTCACAAACATGTCTCTTGACTGTAGATTGACAATGATCTGTCTACCTGTTCAAGTGCGTTCATGATTTTGAGAATTTGATTCTCTTGACCATTGAAATAATTATGTCATTATACTTCCTATGAACTTCAGGAGTCCAATTACTTTTAATCCCCTGAAAATGGAGGAGTATGTATAAAAATCCTGGCAGCAGCCAGTGTTGTACATCAGCCTCTAAACTTTGTTCTCAAGTTGACCTCTGACTTTCAGGTCGAGGTCACTCGAGTTATAGTCAACTTTGGACACGTAAAGAGCCAAGAGTACGAAGCCCAAACACTTATTAACTCAATTGTTTTAGTTCATTTAATCTTAAAATTCCCTTTAAATGTATGTGATTAATCAGTGTTGTTTATCATTTATGTTATATGAAGGATAAGACACTACAAGCACATACTACATGCTTTACATCTTC